TCAGCTGCCTTGGCTTTCCTCTTTTACTTGCTAGGAAAAGATATGGGACGTATGTAGTGGCTATTTGAAGTTCCCTCATGCAGTGGTTGTTATGCCATAATAATTTGACATCTAATCAACTAGAGGTGTCATTATTATTGTCAGTGTTGGTATTAGTTCAAATCCATTTAAACTTAATAATTATTTCATTTTATTTGTGGTTTTTTTCCTCACTTTTTTTCCAAGAAAAGTTACTGGAGTAATATTAAAATATAAATTTAATAGCAGTAATACATTACCTGCATCTACTGTAACAAGAAAAAGTATAGAATTCTTAATAAATGGAGATAAAATTATGCATAGGGTAAACAGTGTAGTGATTTAAATTTGAAGGGCTTCATTGCAACTTGTAACTAAGTTGAAAGTAGGCCTTTAGGTCCAATATATGATGTAGCATTCACAATAAATTACATATAAATTAAGAGCGTACTCTACATATTCTAACAGAAAATATTATTAACAATTTCAGATGCTTAAACCTCATTTATAAGTGTTGTCTTTGTTACCTTCCTTTGTATTTGTTACACTGTATGATACCGTGAGTTTACTGTTGCATTGATATTTGGACTGCTCTGGTGGCCTAGAGGTTAGAGTGTCCACCTCAGATGCAGGTTCGAACCAAAGCCAAGTCATAACAAAGACTTACAAAAATGGTACTAACAGCTGCTTTGCTTGGTGCTCAGCACCAAGTTCGTGTTAGGACTGGTCGGCCTGGTGTCAGGATAATATGACTGGGTTGAAAATCATGCCATATGTCTGTGGCATGATGCCCCAGTTCTAGACATCACTTTACACTGTCACACTGCAGACATCATAGCAAAATGACTGAAAATTTGTTAAAGCTAAGTTAAAAATCTAAATCACATGCATTGATATACAATTTGTTTTTGACAATTTAATTAAGCCATCTGATAATAATGATTTGTACCTTTGGATTAAAATTTTAATAATAACTTACCCGTCACTACTGTGCAACTTTATACTTTAAAACCACAATTCATTTGATTTGAATGCATCCTCCTGTAGAGTGAAGAATTGTCAGTGTGATGTAATCCATTTGCGAACTTGGCCTGGGATATGCATAGATTGGTCAGCTTTTTGAAGGACACTTTGCTGCATGGATGTTATGACTAGATCATCACCAGGGAAAATTTGCTTGTAGTGAATGTTTACTGCATTGGCAGTCTCCAATCTACAGTTAATTCTGATCTTGTTGTTACACAATCTTTTCCATATATAAAAATTCTGTGCACATAACCTTTTCTCACTTTTGGAATTCAGTTCTTTAAGGGAAAGGAGAGTTACCTTGTGTATCCCATTCTTTAGGTGTTTCATTACACCATCCTACTTTTAAATACACAAGCATGGTACTGATTAAAGTACTTGTGTTTGAGGAACAAGAGCAAAACCTTCCTATTATTAAAGGGCAGCAAGATTTTTGTGTATTCCTCTGTCAAAAATTGCTAAACATAAGATCAATAAATAATCTTGTTTTCATTGTTTCCTTCATCATGTTCTATATTAATAATATAATGCACTCTAGCTCTCAAATTTTGTTGCATATGTGTCATCTTTTCCAGCGTAAAAGGTTAAAGTGATAAACAAGAAAACAAAAGGGGAAAAAAGATGGTCTGTTGCTTTCTTCATTCTTAATGGGTGTAGTTTGTACACACTGAATAAGGAGGTGAAGTTACCTGCAACATGTAAATATTATCATTATTCATTTTTTAAGAATATAAGGGCAGTCTGAGCCTACAAGAAAGGCCTTTGGGACATTCACCCAGACAGCATCTACTGCTGAAAGTTCATACACACAAAATCATTGTGCACTTTACACATTATGATCTTCTGAAATCTAGCTGATTCCAGTCATACCTATGGGAGGTGGAGGAAACTTCTCTACCCATCATCATCAGAATTTTTCTGGAATTTCTTTCTCAACAACCCCAAGGCTCAGCAAGAAGCATAGCTCTTCAGCTTGAAAGAGCACTATATGGCCATAGAGTTTATTTTACCAACTTTATTTGGCAGCCTGTGAGGTGCATTCAGAAAGAGAGACTCTATTTTCGAGGAGTCTGTAGCCTCACCCTGAAAAGGAGTGATGTGGGACACTCTTTGCAGGGCAGCTTATTGCTCCCAAGAGTTAGGTGGTACACTGCTCAATTTGTGCACTGATTAGCATGTTGTTCCCTTCCATCTGGGAGGTGGTGCACTGCACATATATCCACAATAGCAGATTGCTCCCTCTCATTTGGGATAAGGTATACTGCACATCTTGTGTCTCTGAAGCATGGTGCTCCTCATGAGAGTTGGTAAATTGCTCCCAATATTTTAAGGGTACTGTGCTGTTTCCCTCAGATGAGGAAAATCAGCACTGCACCCTTCTAAGAGATGAAACAGTTAAGGAGGAAGTATTTGCCAATTATCACTCTGCAGCTTCATGGAACAATGTAGAAAAGATCTCAAGGGTGCAACCTTAACATGACAACTTGCTTCTTTTTCATTCACCATGATTGCAGAAATCTCTCAGGTACTTGGCATGTCAAAATGTTGCTCAGCAACATTGACTTTGAGATCATTGGTCTTTACTGCAAGTTACCAGTTACATTCCCAGAAGTAGCCTACTTAACCTGCCCTACTGGATGCTGGTTAATCCGAAGTGAGTATTTCAACTAAACTCTGGGCACACCTTCCCATCAAAACAGTTGAAACCTTGAAACAGAAAGTCAGGTTACTCATCACTATAGCTTCATTTGCTGACATTTTCTCTGCTACATTTAGTCTGCTTAAAGAGACCACATTTAATCCAGCCACCTCACAATTCATGCACAAAGCTATGGCCAAGATGTTCAAACATGCTTTTTGTTGTAATGGCATTATCAAAAGAATTTTGCACATCCGCTCTGATGTTGCATTGGACTCCCTGTTTAACCTCTGCAGAAACCTTCTAAGGGCTGTTCCAATTGAAATGGAGACCCTCATTGGGAGATTCCTTTCTACATTAGCTTTTCAAGTCTGCACTTCTAGGAATTACAATATCTATCCTTCATAACAGCTTCTGGCCCATCATAATTGGCTGAGGTGTCTTATTGTAAACCATCTTCAAGGTCCATCTGCAATATTTTTGAAATGTGCAACCACAGTACAATATGCATCCTCAAACTAGTCCTCATCAGTCAGGTTCATGGAACACTCATAGATGCTGCAGAGTTTCAAGGAGGAAGTTTTCTAACCCACATTCATTTACTACTCAAGGGCAAGACAGCCCTAGGGACCCAAACCTTCTACCATGCTTCCCTTTCCCAAATATCTCCATATGTGCTTGTCTATGTCTCTTTTCAGATTCTTATCCAGCTTCATGGAAAAGGTTGGACCCATTACACAGTGAGCATAAATTATTACCAGATCAAATTTCAGGACTGTCCAGGTCTCCCATTTTTTACTAGTTCAGTCTGGTAAAACTGGGGGAGGAGGTGTACACATTCTTTGCAGATTGGGGTAATTGAGAGGGTCAAGAATGACAAGTCACAATATTTTCCCAAACCTTCCTGGTTGAGAAGAAAGGTAATAAGGTTTGCATTATAATTGATATCTCCCCTTGAACCATTTTCTTTCAAGATGGACACCACCTTCTCAATCCTGAACAAAACTGTTGGGCAATCTCCCTGGACATAAATGGTGCCTATTTACACTTTCCAATATTTCTCCACACAGCAAATACCTTCAGTTTTGCTTCGACTTTGTTTCTCTCCAGGTCTCGGCCTTCATCCAAATTATGGGAGTGGTAGCGCTCTACGTCCGTTTACTGCACGGGAACGCCGATTCTCCATTATTTTGATGACCCGGCTTATCTACAATGTTTATGTTCAGCCCCTTCATCAGGATCTGTTCCATTGTTTGCAGTATTTCAGTTGAGATTTCTACCCAGACTCAACAAATCAGAACCTTATCCATCACGGGACTTTGTTAAATACGTGGTAATTGTCATCATATCCTTATTTAGCTGATATCCGGGGGACCACAGAGGAATAAATATAATTCTTCAATATATACGCTTTTGATAGTGAATGTTAGAATTGCAACCCTTTCCAAAAAAAAAAAAAAGATCAAACAACTCGCAACATTATCAATCCAAAAATCGACAAAACATAACACATTTGTAGACATTTACAATAACCAAATTAAATGAAGACAATGGTTTAATGCTGATGAATTTCTTTAAATGTCCGATATTTCCATTGATGTGAGGCGAAATATCCTGGGCCGAAACGTCCATTGAAGTGGGGCGAAATGTCCTGGGCCAAAACGTCAATGGGGCGAAACGTCCAAAATTCTTCTTCGGGCCTTGAATTGTACATAGCAAATTCTCCTTTTCTGCAAAGACCCGCTCTCGAATGAAGTGCTGTTCGATTAATCTCGCCATTTTTTTTGGGGGGGGGGGAGTTGTTTCTATTATTTTTTTTTCTCCCTATCATCAAAACTTTTCACACAATGATCTACTACAGAGTTTAATTGACAGATTCTTTCTTTTCGCTATCCTCGCCTTTCACGTACTCGAGGACTCGGGGGGGGGGGGGGACAACTCCTCTCTTCCTGACCTCATATGTTAGCTATGACGAGTAAAACTTAATTACGTTCTCGTCGCATGCCGAGTAGAGGCAGATTCGTACGGCGATAACAAACTTTTACGTTTAAAAGGCGCTAATATTCAACATCGCTTAACATTTGGCGTGCGTCAATTTTTTATATACCATCTTGCCTTTCTTGTTAACCTGGCGCTTCGGTGTATTTGTTCTTTTAAAACATCAGTAACTAACGTAAACTTTGATATTAAAATGCTATCATCATGTCCACTCAGACACGTTAGCCTGACACCTATGCTGACCAGACCTAACACTAACCTCTTAATGCTGAGTATCAAGCGTGGCAGTTGCTAGTATCATTTTCATAAATCTTTGGTATGATTCGGTCGAGGTTCGAACCCGAGACCTTCCGTGCTCGAGACAGACACTCAAACCACAGGCCACCGGAGCGGTCGCAGACAAGCTAATTATAATAACAAAGCGCGCTTTCACATTTCGCTATTAGTCGGATAGAAAACAGAAACTCCAAGTGTAGCATGTCTATCATATATCGACGGGTATTTTCTTTTTTGTGCAAATACGTTTAGAAACATTCTAAAATTTAACCACCGTATGTATTCACGTGTAACAGTTTGCTAAATCTAGGAGTAATACTATAAATTATGTTTTAGAACTGACAAAAAAACCCAACAACATGTAAATGAAAATACTGTTACGTTTTCATACCACTAGTCACATCCATATATATATATATATATATATATATATATATATATATATATATATATATATATATATATATATAGTTTTATTATGGTATTAGTTACGTAATACTTGTGTCTACATTTATTTCGATTTTAATAATTTGAAAATGTTAAATATTACTGTAAAGTGAGGTGTCCATAAAGTTATTTTTTTCTTGGGTGTTTACAAGTAAGTATATTGCTTCCATTTCCACGCAAATCCGAATATTCCGTTTTGTTGTTTTCACGTCACATCACAAAGCATATGCTCTTCCATATTCGCCATTTTGATTCCTATGTCAAGAAACCCGGAACCTAACAATAATGTTCTTTCCACCTAATTATGTAGCAAGTCTCATTTTGTGCGTAAGGAAATCCTAATGCATCACATTCTGTTGTGAATTTGAACAACACGAAACCGAATTCGTGACTTTTACCTTCAAATAGGCTAATATTAATCATTTGGTAATCTTTCAAATTAGTTATCGCTTGCATTCAACATCATTCTCCATCTATCATCTCCATAAAATAAACTATTTGACCGTACTACTTCAAATTGGTTTGTCAGCTGTCTTTGGCACAAGCTTCCATGAAATGAATTGTACAGAAATGTTCTGGCATAATACACATGCAATAAAATTTTAATTGCATATCTGATATTGTATCCCGAAGAATAGTGTCGCAAAATTCTCGTTCAAGAGGATAATCTTGGGGACATAATACGAATTAATTGTTAAAAATAAACCACAATGTTGTCTGTTTGAGAGAGAAAAATTTGCATTTCTGTTTGATAACAATATGCATAATCACGATTTTACTTCATTATTCCGGTTTTTCGATATAAACCATAGAACCTCCAGCTTTATTTTGTCTTTCGTGCTTTAGAGGCGTTTAAGTTCTAGTATAAGATACGTATTTTTTTCATAAGTAATTATCATTATCAACGATTAAATCAGATTTTATTTTGAATATACGTTACCTTGATCTGTCTGTTCACTTTGGCTTGTTTATTTTTCATCCCTTGTGATTTGATTTGCAAATTACACCTCTTAGACTATTAGGATGAGTTATTCAAAATTAAATTGTTTAATGGGCTATTAATATCAAGAGACATTTTGAAGACCAAGATGTTGCTACGTTATTCAGTGTAATTATTACGATCATCAAATAAAATCTATCCAAAGCCACTGCCTATTTACAGCTCTGTATCTGTATATGCATATAGCAGAAACCAATACTGGTATTTAACTATAGGGGGAGTTCGCATCTCAGCAGCAGCTCTCGATGAGTGATGACTTGAAAACTTCCACCAACTTGGTGCTCACAACACTTGTCAATCGGCTTCAAAGCACAACAGTTTTTATAAAGAAAGATTTTCTAAATTGTTCCCTACTCGAACTTTTAAGAACAAAACACACAAAATTGTTAGTAACCTGATTATCTACAAAATTTGAGTTTAAATGTCCGTATGGGTTTTATATATTATGCGTCTTTTTGGATTAAGTTTGACTAAGTAACCAGAGGTGTCTATCGCCGGTATCATACCGATCATTATCACATAGTAGGTATAGTTTTCCTGAAGATTGTGCAGTGTCATATTTTTGATATTTCCACACGTTAAAAAATATCACTTTATGTGATTATGATTGGTCCAAATAAGCCCATGAAATTATTGTGCACGATCATCTTCTTTACTGATTGGCTGGGATCGTGGGAAAAGTTTCTAAACCCGCTTCCTCGAATGTTTTGTTTTGAATGAACATTTTTGGCAGCCATTTTTTAACTCGACTGGGAAAAGGAAATTGAGGAAAATTATCTCGGCTTTCTTAATATTGGTGTTACCCCTACAGGTTTTTAAAATGTCATTTATAACAATATCATCATAAGAAAAATGGCGTAAAACTACAAGACAAGAAAAACAGTAAAAAGTAAAACTAAAGGTATTGCTTATTTGATGGCGAGGTTGGGGAGGGGATCGGTATATCTGTAACATAGATATATAATCCACCGTATATTCAAGCATGGTTTAAATGTTAACTTACAGAAGTAAATAAACTCACCTCTGGTCACAAAAAAATCTGGACATAAAATAGGTCTTCTGACAGAATGTTATCCAACCACAGCGTCTTTACGCGGTATATGGGATGCAAATCCTACTCAAAAAGAAATTTGTTTACGTCTTCTGTACAGTCTGTTGTTCCAAATCAAATACTGCAAATATCCGGTTATTTCAGAATATACATTTGTTTCTCAAAGATTTGGAATTCCCCAAAAGTTTTGAATGCTGACCATAGGTCTTCAGTATCAATGTTGATGATTGTTGATGCATTATATTGGAAATGTTACTGCAGTCCATGCTTATGGATTTCTAATTTCCTCTAGAAAGCTGGATTATTTTTCTTAGTTCTGGTTTGATATCCGAGTCCACAAGAACCAGGTCATGATCTGATATCCCAGGGCCAATAACAGAAGATTTGACCAGCGATGGATTAGTGAATACAAGGTCAAGAAACTTATCGTTACGAGGTTCCTGGATTTACTCTTAATGTTACAAGGTGCTTTTTGGATCTTCAGATGTTGGACGTTGGGGCCACTAGAGACAGTGAGAAAAGTTCCAAATATTTGGGCAGTTGAAATAATCACAGTTTAAATGTTTTGGTTTAGAGGCATTTAAGAGTCTAGCTGAATCTGCGAGCTTACAAACGGTAGTAATATTTCTTATAGGCCAACATGCATCTGTTTGGATTTAAGTGATATTCTGACATTCAAGTTTACAGTCTGTAATAAAAACCAATATGTTTTGTGGATGTCATATTGTTCTGGACATATACGAATACTCCTCCTCCTAGAGTGCTCCTCTCATTTATATTGACATACTCTGTAGAAAAATAATTCCCAGCGTTTTCAAAATGACATTTCCTGATCGAGTTTTACCTGGTTTGAGCCACGATTCAGTTCCACGCGTGATGTTGGGTTTCGTGCAATGATTACATAATTTAAAGTTTGAGTTGCTTTCATTAATACTTCTGCAGCTGATGTTCAAACTATGCAAGTTTTGCTTACTTGGCAGTTCTGTGATAGGATTCGGAATCTACCGATATACAGAACCTTGAATATATAAAGCACTAACATTAAATTTCCAATTCTCACTGTGTTAGGACTTGGTTTAATTTGGATACATTCAGACTTCGTTACATTTGATTTGCACACGTTTTTAACTCGTGTACATAAGACTTTGGTACATCTGTTTTGGTGACGTTTTGACATGGGTACGTTCTGTCTTGGTTACATTATGACTTGGGTACGTTTTGACTTAGTTACATTTGGACTTGAGTACGTTTGACTTGGGTACGACTTTACTAGCTTCTGGTGATTTGCTTCCAATTTTGGATTGTATCTCTACGCCGACTAGCTTGGCGGACATGTATGCATATTAAGAATAGCAAAATAGTTCCAAAGACTGGGCCCCTTTACTTCGTTTCTTTTCATGACTGGTCAATCAAATATATATCTCGAATGTAAGTTAAGCTAAGTAAATTTCTTCGTAAAAGTGTGTTAACACGAGGAAGGGGTGGCAAAAAGTAAAAAAAAAGTCCATGTTTAGGTTCCGTTCTACTGTTATAATCTACTTCTAAAAAAATGGACATGAATAAAGTGAAATTATTTGCATTAGCAACATGCACAATGGAATGTCAGCAGACCATTTTTTTAAAGTAATGTGAACATTTCTTTACATGTGATAATTATAGAAATCATTGACTATCTAAAGCAGACAGGCTATAAAAATGGCTTCTCCCATGTACTTCATAAATGAGCACGAACTAGTCCCAAGCATAATAACTTTAGCAATTATTAAAATAGGAAAAAAGAATTTTGCCGGCTTAAGCAAAACAACCTTCTGAAAGTACAAGTAAATTAAGGAATTAAAATTTCTTTTAATAATTGCCAAGATAAGCAAATTGTCTTTTAAATAGCTAGGATTACGACTGATGAAAAAATGGGAAATTTCTCGTCTCTTCCGTTGTCAAATCCTAAGTTTCGGAGGTGTTTTGCATACAATCAGAACACATTGCTTTCTCCATCGCATGCTGTAAAAATTTATTCGTCTTGTATCGAAAGAGCTGAGGATGTTCTGAATGGTCTTGTATTTGGTCATGCACTTTACTTTCTCAGGTAAGTAAATATAAATTTGTATGCTTTTCACAGTCCTATTATGCATCTAGTTCTGCTCTGTTTTGTAACTTGCAGAGGGTTAAATTTATGAAGAAAAAGAATTCCCCATGTTTTCATCACTGGTTATCCTGCTTATACAAAACAATCACTGTATATTATGTATTGTTAGTCACATGCGGACAAAATCGGACAAGGGGAGAGAGGGGTGAGGAAAACATATTATCTGCGGACGTTATTTATGGACAACCCCTTTAGCAAAATTCATTTTCCCCATTTTAATATTTGCTGAAGTTTTTGAAAGTTAGACTAGTTCAGGACCAACAGAGCACACTGGAGCATCTACTTTGATCAATTGTTTGCTTGTAGATAGTGCACAGTTTCCATAATTATCACATGTAATGAAATTTCAGTCACAGTACATGAAAGTAGCATGTTGTTGACATCAATGCATGCTACCTACAAAACCAAAATCTGTTCAATTCAGAATGCAGTTAAACACGTTCTCCCTCTTCACTCTAAAAAGAATAAACCAAA